AAAAAAAAAAAAAAAATCCTAACTCTAAAATACCATAAGTGGTATGATAAAAATTTATCTGCTCTTTGTCTTGGGTTCCTGGCAAGGAGCTTCTGAAACCCTTGGAATTTTCTGATAGGTGCATCTTTGTTATGCTAATTAGGTGGCTCAAGGTAGGCCCCCTTATCATCCTCAACAGGACAGACTGACCACCAAAATGACCAACCATGTGAATCTAAGGGTGAGACTTTTGAGCTAGTTCAATCTCTGGGAAGAAAAGGAAAGCTAGAGATTCAGTTCACACATGTAGCCAATGACTTAACTGAGCATGTCCATATAAGGAAGCCCCAGTAAAAACTGGACATACAAGTTCTAAGAGGCTCCTCGGTGGTGAATATCTTGAAGTGCCAGGAGGGTGATCTGCCCAGACTCCACAGGGAGAAGGCGTGAGCACTTTGCATTCAGAACCTCCCAGATCTCTCCCTATGTGCCTCTTCATTTGGCTTTCCTGGTTTGTATTCTTTACTTTTATTTATTTATTTATTTATTTGAGACAGAGCCTCAAGTTGTCCCCCTGCGTAGAGTACTGTAGCATCCCAGCTCACAGCAACCTCCAACTCCTGGGCTCAAGCTTGAGACTCGCTCTTAAAAAAAAAAATACAACTAACCACAATGTTCCACCAGAATAAAAATCAGTGATGCTAAATTAATTAAAATCAATCCTAGTTACTGATATGCATTTTACAAACATTTTAACTAATCAAAACAAATGGAGCAAAGTTTTAAGGAATGGCTTAAAATGGTGACTGGTTATTGTATTTTATTTTTTTGTAGAGAGAGAGTCTCACTTTGTTGCCCTTGGTAGAGTGCCATGGCGTCACACAGCTCACAGCAACCTCCAACTCCTGGGCTTAAGGGATTCTTTTGCCTCTGCCTCCGGAGTAGCTGGGACTACAGGCACTCGCCACAACACCGAGCTATTTTTTGGTTGCAGTTCGGCCGGGGCCAGGTTTGAACCCACCACCCTCAGTATATGGGGCTGGCACCCTACTCACTGAGCCACAAGTGCTGCCCACGACTGGTTATTTTAAACTAAAATTATTTTAATAAATTTCATTCATTAAAGTTGCAATGTATTATGAATTACATCTTTTAGTACCAGTCATTCATGATTTTTTTTAAATTATTAAACTTAAATGATAATCTAAATATTAAATAGGCCAAAAATTAGAACTAAAAAGTTAATGGCTCTGCACCTGTCCCTCAGCAGCTAGGGTGCCAGCCACATACACTAACCAAGACTGGCGGGTTCAAACCCAGCCAGGGCCTGCCAAACAACAATGACAACTACAACCAAAAAATGGCCAGGCATTGTGGCAGGCGCCTGTAGTCCCAGCTACTTGGGAAGCAAAGGCAAAAGAATCACTTAAGCCCAAGAGTTTGAGGTTGCTGTGAGCTATGATGCCACAAGCACTTTTTATCAAGGGCGACACAGTGAGACTCTGTCTCAAAAAAAATAAAGTTGTCAAACTTGTTTACTTTGCCACAGACTTTTACAAAAAGAAAATAAAATACTCAAGTTAATATCTTTAAGGTCTTCCATTTTCTTTTGAAGTATAAAATTGCACATTATAAAGGAGGATAACTCAGATTTTCATTTTTTCATGTCTCTGAAATACTTACGGGTTATTAACTGAATGTTTATGATTTTTCCATCCAATTTTTGCGAAGTGTTCAATTTTTGTTCCTACAGAGAAAGCAAACATCTTAGTGGTCATTATTTTTCTGCTGCTTATTAACAGATGTTGCGATGATACTCAGTGTTAAATATGGCCATGTTTCCCCTTGCACAGATCTCATCAGTATTGAAGAATTCAACACTGATTCCTCACATACATTTTTTTATAATTAAATTCGGGCATTTAATGAATTAAATCAAGTGTAGGCATGTTAAATGAAAATAGTGCAAACTAGTCTATTATACTTAGTAGAGCAGCAAGGGTCCAATTTTTTCTCTCTTTTTTTTTTTTTTGTGTGTGTGTGTGTGGTTTTTGGCTGGGGCTGGGTTTGAACCCACCACCTCCGGCATATGGGGCCGGTGCCCTACTCCTTTGAGCCACAGGCGTCGCCCCAGGGGTCTAATTTTTTAAAAATGAGAAAATATAGTCTATGACCACAGCAGTTTTAAGGCAAGACAGAACCTCCAGCAATTCTTCCAAGAAGCTGCCGAATACCCAGAGCCCCAGATGGGGTGAATTTTACGACTGGCACCTTCCAGGGCCTGATAAATCTCTCATCTTCTTCCCTGGTGGTGGCTCACGCCTGTAGTCCTAGTACTGTGGGAAGTTGAGGTGGGTAGACTGCCTGAGCTCAAAGGTTGGAAACCATCCTGAACTGGAGTGAGCCAGAGCGAGACCCTGTCTCTACCAAAAAAAGCCAGGCGTTGTGGCGGGCACCTGTACTTGGGAGGCTAAGGGCAAGAGAATCACTAAAGGAAGAAAAGAAAAGAAAAAAAATTAAAAAAAAAAACCCTCAAACTAAGATGAGTGAAAGCCAGTTAAAAGCAAAATTCAAAAAAAACGGTGGGCTTGGCACCTGTGGCTCAAGTGGCTAAGGCACCAGCTATATACACCTAAGCTGGCAGGTTCAAATCCAGCCCAAGCCCCCCAGACAACAATAACGGCTGCAACCAAAAAACTAGCCAGGTGTTGCGGCGGGCGCATGTAACCCCAGCTACTTGGGAGGCAGAGGCAGGAGAATCGCTTGAGCCCAGAAGTTGGAGGTTGCTATGAGCTGTGATGCCATGGTGACAACTTGATGCTCTGTCTCAAAAAAAAAAAAAAAGAATAGTGATGGGGGGCCAATATGAGAACGATAAGGGACAGGCCAGCCAAGCGCAAGGACTCACACCTATAATCCCAGCACTTTGGGAGGCCAAGATGGAATAACTGCTTAAGGGCAGGCGTTTAAGACCAGCCTGGGGTGGCACCTGTGGCTCAAAGGAATAGGGCGCCGGTCCCATATACCAGAGGTGGCGAGTTCAAACCCAGCGCCGACCAAAAAAAAAAGACCAGCCTGGGAAACATGGTTTGATCTCATTTCTACCAAAAAAACATTAATTTTTTTTTTTTTTTTAATGATAGTCTCACTTTGTCGCCTTGGGTAGAGTACCATGGCATCACAGCTCACAGAAACCTCCAGCTCTT